GTCATTTAAAGCAACAATATATTTGAGACATACAAGATATCTTCTCGGATACGGCTGTCAATCTGAATTATTCAAAAAAGTGTTTCATTAATGTCATTGACTTTAGATTTATATAATTACATATTTTAGAAGATAATGGATGCAGCTAAAGGACTGACTTCCTGAAAGTGTCAGACAATATAGTAGGGCAAAAGATAAAAGACAAAAAGTAAATGGTTTCGGAACTCTTACAGCTTTTTTAAATCTTCATGTAGTGGTCAAAATTGGCATTGATGCCTCAAAGCAAAAAACCTAGTGGGTTTTCCATCTAGCATGAGAAAACTCCTGTTTTGCAGTAAAATTTGCTCTGAGCTAGCTTGCATTTGAATTTAAATGTGTAGTATATACGTATGAAATAAAATATGTGATATATCAAAGGGATACTTGGGCAAATTATTGACAAAAATAATCAAATGATCATTTGTACTCAAATCACACTAAAATGACATTTTTGAAAGTTCCAGCATGAATTCCTGTATAAATTCTATACATTTTGGGTTTAAAACGTATATACATCTATATATGTTGAACGAAATCTAGACTCAGACAGAATCACCAAGTAGTTTTAAAATTAGTCATGTGACTTAAACAAACCATGGAAGTTACAATAACAGATGTTGTGGATATTGTATGATTGAAATGAGTCTAAGTCATTCATTTGACATGTTATTTTACGTTTCAAGAGTTCACATTGACACTATTGTGAAATCTTAACATTTTAACTTGACCCACGCGGGTCATGTTAGGAAACCACCATTTTGTTCTTTACAAGGGGAAAAAAAAAATTTCCAATGACTGCTTATTGTATTCATTTTGAAGACATTTACAGAATAATGAATCTAAAATTCAAAATGAAGAAATGAAAATATTTCCTGTGTCTCCCTTTAAACAGTATGTACCCTTAAAATAAAATGTGTAACCCCAGCATATTGAATAAACTGGCTCCAATTCTAGCACTTAATGTTTCACAGATGGGGGCCATTGTAATAAGGTCACTCAATGTGCAATACTGGTATATTGAATAAAATTTGTAATACAGGTATATTGAATAAAAATTTGTAATTGAATACCTGTATGTTGAATAAAATGTGTAATACTCAGGGGCGTAGCTAAGCCTTAAAAAAAGTATACGCAAAGCTAGGCACGAAGTGCCGAGTGGGGGAACATGCGGGAGGGGGTGTCTCCCTCCTGCTGGTGGGGGTACGGGGGGTCTCCCCCGGAAAATTTTGAAAAATTAGGTGTTAAATCGTAGGCTCTGGCATGTCTTGAAGCACCTTCTGCACGTAAAGCATAAAGCATTTTCAAGTAATTTTTCCCCCATAAATTGATAAACATATAGCTGCTTGTTTTACTTTCTAATTTATTTCATTATAACTGAACAGATTTGTAAAGAAAAAAGGCAGTGTACATGTACGCCTTGTAGTTTTCTTGTAGTTTTCTTATTTTACATACACAAAATATTTTCCATGTGAAGTTTAATTAAGGATGCAGATCATGAAATTGGTTTGTGCATGAATGCCCGTTCAATTGTAATTCGCATTTAACCAGATAACAAATGTTTTTTAGCATTTCTCATCAAATCAGTTTGGTAAGAAGGGCTTTTGTCTTAAACCTTCAGTCTCATTTATCCAAGTGTATGTATTATTTCCAAATGCAGAAGAAAAATTATACTCTGAGAACTATTCTATTCCATCGTAAGAAAGTAGGGAAATTACCAGATACAACGATATAGTAAATGGTCTGATGATGATCACTCCATAGGTCTCCTCAGGCAGAGATGAGAAAGTAACGGACTTATTCATAGATATATTTTGCTGCCCACAAAAAAATATGGCCGGCTTTTGTGATGGAATTCATGTGTTCTTTTGAGTGTGTGTGTCCATCAACGACTTTTCTTGCGTTGCTCCAGTCAATCAACGGACAAGCAACAACCACATTTTCAGCCGTATTAAAGGCAAAACATGGAGCACAAAATATTCCATCAAATAAAGGGATGTACCTTAAGTAAATGTGTGCTTTTTTCGAGTTCTTTGAGAGGTGCAACCCAACCTGTATGTGGCTCAAACCGTTCGGTGAGGACAACATTTCTCTAGAATCTGGCATTCTTAGTCGGCTTCTGATATTAACACTTCCGATACCCAGGAATCGTGCTCCCAGGGAGCTTCTAGCGGTTCTCGAGGGGAGAAGAAGCAGGGGTAGACAAAGAGGAGGAGATGGATTGAGAAGAAGGGAGAGAAGGAGACACGACATTGGCGTCTGATTTGCTCATCATAGGAGGGTCACATGCCAGGTCTTGTGAATTCTGTTTTGTTTCTACCTGGTCAGATTCATGGGCTTGATTGGGTTCTGTTTTAGGACCATGAAAAGGGTCGCTTGTCCTGGAATTTGGCGGATGTTTCTTTTCATTTTGACAACTAGTTACACACCAAAAATTAAATTTTATCCCTGAGTTGATGATTTTTAAAATCTTGATCTAGAACTTAAAAGATTTAAAGTCGTTTTAAAATAGAGCTATTCCAAAGGAGAAAAAATTGGTCTAAATTTTTAAGAAAAGTTTTAATAATCTTTATTTACTGAGAATTTAACCAACGATAAGTTATTATCTTTGTAGATAATTTAATGCTGTGCTTTTCATTTATAAGTTTGTATATGCAATAAATTTGTAAATGCTTCGAGTTAACGAGAAACTTAAATTCCTTTTGCACATATATTACAATAATTAATAGAAACGTCATATACGATACTGTAGAGTGACGCAGTCATAGTTTACACTTTGTAGTAAACAGTATGACGCAACGAAATATTTTGTGATCTAGATCTAATGCGATAAAACCATTAAAACTTAGATTTTCTCAACTTTATTATTTTACCTTCGGAATTTCTCTATACGCAATTGCGTATTGTGCGTAATGGGCGCTACGCCCTTGATACTAGTACATTTGATAAAATCTGTAATACCAGAATGAATAAAATGTGTAAATTCTGGTATATTGAATTTAATGTGTTATACCGGAATATTAAATAAAAAGTATGACATTGTGAAATATATAAAGTAGCTGAAATGTGGCATTATGTATCTGGTATAAAAATTAATGTTTGAAAAATGAATATGTTGGTTAACTTACTAAATCATAATGTGTCATTATTTATCATGATATTTGTTTCCTAAATATAGTTAAGTTACCCATTAATGTCACAGAAAAATTTTTAATTTACATGCAATTATTCTCTGTTTATTTACTTTTTAGCTCACCTGAGCACATAGTGCTGCGATGAGCTTTTGTTCAAGGTGTGATGTCTGAAGTCACATTGTTGTTTTCCACAAACTTTAGATTTAACAATATAATAACTGGTGGCCATTAACTAAAGTCAAAAGAATGGTTCCAATCTCATGCAATTTTTTAGGTACATGTAGGTTACTTGAGCTAGAAAATAGACTTTAAAAATCTAATTTTTAAAATCTCTTTCTGAGAAACTACAATGCCTAGACTTTCTGAGCTCAAATATCTGGTGTGGAACATTAGTCACGTAATCTCACGGAACATTATAAATTTTATGAAAGCACATTTCACAGTTACGACCCTAAGTGACCTACTTCTGAATATTTTGGCATTAGTTTACATTTTGGACCACTTTTTTGGGTGTGAAATCAAAATTTAATCTTACTAATGACTTTAAATACAACCAATGTCCTACTTTTACATTAAAAATTTTTTGCTTTTTCGTAACCATTTTCAAATCTCAGATGAGCGATAAAGGGCCATCATGGTTCTCTTGATTAGAATTTTTTTTTAAAAATGAGTGACCTTAATAGCCTCAAAGTTACAATAGAAAATGACAAGTCTTCTCAGAAAGTAATCTTCCTTCATTATTATAGTGATTAATGGCCCAACTCCTGTATTTATATAAGTTCCGTATAATCATAAATCTTCATGACTTGAATATAATTAGGAAGATTACGAACTTTCTCAGTGAAACCTGTCATGAATTAGAATGATTGAAACCATTTTATAAATTAAAAAGTCTTCATTTGTCATTGGGCTTATCGAACAGTATTATTAACTAGTTTTAATTGAAAACTACAATGTCTTTAAAATGGATTGTTTTGATAGTTTGTTTTTTAAGCTCACCTGGGCACATATGAAGGGCTCCCATGGGCACAAAGGTGAGCTATTGTGATCACAATTTGTCTGGAGTTCATCATCCGTCAGTGCATCCTGCTTCTGAAACTTCTGAGTCAGATTTCATTAATTTTTTCTCGGGAAGTTCCTAGCATGGAGCCAACATTTTTAAATTGGTTCTGCTTAAATGAATATCTGGGTCAGCACTGTATTTTGACGTTGAATCTTTTTCTTGTTTTTGTCTTACATTTATTTGATCTTGCATAAAATGGTTTGAAGATAAAAAGTGTCAAGGTCATTAAGTGTTGGGCTAGTGTATACTTATTTAGCTCGACTATTTAATAAGAATAAGTAGAGCTATCCTAGTTACCTGAGTGGTTGACATCAGCGTTACCACTTATGTTAAAGATTGTGTACAACCTCATACGTTTTTGAAGTCCATTGACATTATGGCTTTGAATCTTTGCACACTTTCATGCACCAAACCTGTAAACAGGCAGATGTAACTCTATCAATTATTTTGACAGAATTATGCCTCTTTTTGACTTAGAATTTATGTTAAAGTTTGCGTAACACCTCAAATATTTTCAAAGTCTATTGACATATGGCTTTCTCCAAGGCCTGAGATGATAACTTTAAAAAAATGGGTCCTTTTTACATTATCATTATCAAGGCTCTGCTACTTTCAAGCACTGAAAATAGTCCAGCAAGCTGTCCTACGAACAGCTTTTGTTTTCTTACTTTGTAACAAAAAAATGGGCAATGTATGAAATGAAACTGCTTTAAAGTTTCCTGTTTATTTGATTTTTCTAATGACCACCTTTGATTTTCTTTATACAGATGTATATCCCTGTGAAGGTTCCTGAAAATATGCATGTTGAAGTGTACTTACCATTGGAGACCAGTGAAGAAACAGAAGTTGTAAATGTAAACAAAGATCATGTTAATGGGAAACAAGCATTTGGTCTTGAACGATCAGAATCTGGTATGTAAGATTTAAGAAATAATATATCCCCAACAGTGATTTTATGGCTAAATTTATTCACAGTTTTAGTTGGATGTGAGGAATTATATAAAGAGGGCTCGAGTTATATCATGCTGCACATCCAAACGACAAACAGTAATTTTATTAAGTGCTAAATCATTGCTTGGGATATATTATTTTGATGATATATTATTTCGATTAAAAAACCCAACATCAACAAATAAATGCTGCCATACCTGATATCAAGCTACAGTGAGTGTGCCTTAATTTGTTTCTGTACTTATTTTCAGCATGTAGCATTGGTTACGTCACATGTCTAATTTATAGATCGTCAATAGTGTGATTTTTATTGCATATTTCTTAACACCTTTAGTCCTTCTTCTATGTTCAATATGCCAAAAAGCGGGTTGTGTTAAAATAAGTAACTTTTCTCTTGAGAAAGTGGACACAGGTGAGCGATTTTGGACCATATGATGACTCTTGTTGATATTATTGATGCTAATGATAGTGTGTTTGGTTTAGAGATTATGTTGCTATAAAATTCTTAAGGGAAAAGGGGATCAATATTTGTAACTCACGGATCAGGCAAAGGTAATAAGTCTAAATGTGTATCTCTCTTGAAATGGTAATCAGAAATGCAATTATACAAGATGTGTATCTTAATTGATGTTTCTCAGGGAGTTACACGTTAGGTTCTTATTTAGTTGTTTAGTATCATGATTAAAGGAGAGAGAGAAAAAAACAGCTGAAATTTAGAATCCTCAGATTAAAAGAGACTTTGTATTATGGAGGGGATGATAAATCTCTATTAATTAATTACAATTTGTGTACATGTCAGCAGAGAGAAACTACGGTTTAGCACATGTACTTAAGCAGTTTTAATCTAGAGAAATATATTTAAAAACTGGATGTATTTCAGTCCATGGTTTGGTATTAATTTTTTATTAGGATTAATTTCCATCAATGATTGCCATTAGCTAGGTTATTCTCATAGTAGAACATGAAAAAAATGCCCAGTGGAAGTGGCTTGCTCAGATTTTGTAGCTGTAATGTATAATTATGTTTTAGCAATTTTCATTAAACATGTGCATGTATATGACAAAGTGTCCACTTTGTCCATTTTTCAAAATGAAAAATTATTTATGTTAAGTCAGATAAGTTTGCATTCAGGCCTTTAGTGCACAGCCTATGCTTTGTTCTATTTTGAAGGTTCAAAACAAAATAAAACAAATATTTGGGCAAAAAAAGTTTTAATAATTGTTATTTATGTATTCATCATTGAAATTTGAAAATTTCACTTTACAATTTTTAAAGTGTATTTAAGCTATTTGTATGTTGCCCGTAGTTTTCAAAATTTAATGTTTGAATTTGGAAATACATGTTGTTACTTCTGAAATACCTTGAGAAAGGAATTATTTTTGTATTTTTCCTCAAAAGCAACTTACACATGCGCAAAATCATTGGTAAACATTTTATATAATTTTTTGTTTGTTTGTTTCATTTTACACCTTTTTCCAACAGTATTTCAGACATATAGGCGGATAGTTTCCTAACCATTGTTTCTGGAGAGTAACACCAGTACTAGACTACCTTCCTATGATTTTATATAATAATGTACTTCAAATAACAGTATGATTATGGAACATTTTATTCTATTTATGCAGTACAATTTTTATCATTTTTGCTGTTTCGGTGCCATGTGACAAGTAATTAAAACCAACCAAACAAACAATTTACAATTTTTGTGCCCTATAGTGGGGGGGCATTTAGATTTATCCTTGTCCGTATGTCCATCAATCCGTCCGGGCTTGAGATTAGTAGGGGGCATGTAAGTGTTAACAGAACAAAAGAGAACAATAAAGTTCATTTCATAACAATCGGAAAAAGGGCCATGGTCCTCTTTCAAACAAAAGAAAGTAACAAAAGAAATGGCCCCTTAGTCCATTTAAATGGCATATCCTTCCATCCTTCCGTCCGTCTGTTTTCATTTTGTGTCACACGTAGCTCAAAAAGTATTTGACCTAGAGTCATGAAAAAATTTACAGGAATGTTACTTGGCATCTGTGGATGTGCACCTGGGTATTTTCCTGTGGATGTTTTTTTAGTGTTTTAATTTTTC